ACTGACACCCACAGACTTCAAAAGTCAAAAAGGGAATCAACTAACCAGTTATTTGAATGACAAAGCTATTATTTCGTAGGATGCCGATCTAACAGACAAATGCTGGGTAGTTGGGACCATTGAGTGTTACGCAATTCGAGAGTTCCACGCAATCACACAGGTGGAAGCTCTTTCTTCACTCAGTCTCAGAGCAAATATACTAGAAGGTGGCGTTTGGTAGTTTTCCTTTAGCAAAATGACCATCTTCGCTTGACCAAATTTTTTTCGACAAACCCTCGTCAGGCCTTTACTTATAATTACTTACTTATTTACTTATTTAGCTCAAATTATAGTTGAATATTATTTATTTATTATTTATTTGATTTCATTCAGACAGTTGAGAAAAATCTGTACGCCGCAAGTGACGGGTATTAAAAATGTGAAATTCACTGACAGCAGACCAAATCCTTAGTAAAATTCCTCGGAAATCAGTGCCTTCATAATATGGTTTCGGGTTCATCAAATACTTAATTTTCTAAAATTCAATGTGTGCTCGTTAGTTACACTTATTTACGGCCTCAGAACTTCACCAAAATGGAATGAAAGAGGCGTTTTCTGTTTCTTTTTGCCTCCTAAATCCTGTATCCTTCAGAAAATCATAGCAGGTATTGGCGTATCTTTCAAAGTTTTTTTTCTAAATGTTCCTCCAGAAGCTTCAGGCATAAGATTTCAACCCCAATCCTTTGTCCGGCTGCCAATTTTCTTCAACTACTCTAAGGACTATTCTGCCCGCAACTGTCCATAACTGTGAGGATCTTTCGGTCGGCAGCACCTGTCTCCGTCGACGAAATTGTTTTTTGTTCGAGGGAACATGCTATCTTGACCAATTAAGCAGCTGACCCAGTTTTACTTTGAGTCAACCTTCGTGAAAGCGTGTCATATTTGACAGCTTTATAGTAGGAGTTTGAATAAAACAGGATATTGGTCAGGGCCCATAACAATTAGTTTATAATTCAGAGCTTTCAAACTCGTGGAGGAGTCCTCTTCCAGGGGGTACAAGCCAATCATCAATTAATGACACAAGTCGGGAGGTAACTGTGCAGGGTTCTGTATGCTGGTGCCAGCTCGATACCTCGATGGACTGAGTTCCCATCAACAGCCTAGGATAATAAACGAATTATACCTCCTTATTCGTCTATCCAGGGAGTTGATGGTGATCGGCTGGTTCGCCTTCCCTGATCGCTTGTACAGACGGTGTATGAGTTTTCTATTAATGTAATGTTAATGTGCGGCTTACATGTGTCTTGCTGTCATTTCTGGAAGTATCGTGAAATTCCACCGAAAGCAAACGATTGAACACGTGCGGTTGTGGTCGAATAACTCCTGTTACGAATGCATCTGCCGCCGGATAGTAGTGTAGTATTCTTAAAGTAAGTCCTTTTTTTGAAGAAGTGCACAATTTCATACTTTCCCGCCAGCTCTTTCTCCTGTTATTCGACGCGTATTCGGTTTCTGGAGTCCACTTGATCGTTATAACTGCTTATACTTAAGTGGACAAAGACTCACCAAATATTTGCTCGAATTTCACACGACAGGGGTACTGTAACTCAGAGGCCGCCCGCAAGTTGCCTGGAAACGCTTCAGATATTAATTTGGCCCAGTTATGAGAACTCATGACAGCAAGAGCAAGGCCTGAGCACACCCAAACACCTTTTAATCCTCAGAAATGTTTTGGTATAGAGGTTTGTGGCCAAAACAACTCTTGAACCAAACTCCGTTAGCAAATGACCTCGGACAGAACCCGTACTTTTGTATTTTATACTCAGATATGGGTCCCTTGTCATATACAGTTAGCGTCCGCTGGTGTCACAGCAAAACACGCAAATATGTAGGGTGGCTTTTTAAATTCTCTGCTAGCAGTCGATTGCTAATAGGTAAAATTGGTCCCAAAACGGCTGCAGGTTCTCATCTATGATCATATCCCTCCGCTTCAGTTGACCTTGTGTGTTTCAAGGAGCTAACGAAAAATCGGCTTGACGAACTTAACATGTCATTGGTGATCCAGAAAAACAAAAAAGCAGCACTTTCTGTGAGTCTACACACTTTTTAAGCAGTCTTAAGGTTCCACTGTACAGGACTCCTCAAGGCTTCAATATCTCAACAGATTTTCGTGGGTATAGACTTTCCTAAACGCTCTTCAGATACATTCGATCGATCAACTCATTTCTCCTTCAAAAGCATATTTGAAAAGTGGTTTGCTATTCGTTCCAACCAAGAATCTAGGACTCGGAATGTCTCCGTATAGAGTAAACCTTTGAAAAGTTGTTGTACTTTTGGTTCTAAGACAATTCGAGCTTTAGTAATTAGCCGCTGTGATGTATATAGTTGACAACTTTAAATCAACCGTAGTGTCGATGCGCCACGTCCATGGATCTGTCGATCTTTAAGTAAACAAAACCATTGTGAGTGCCGTCGTATGGGTTGTCACGATCTTGAATAGGACTACTTATTAGCCGATAAAGATAGGTAATTTATGAGTATGAGTATGGAGGGAGACTATGCTAAACTGCATCTACTTTCGGGATTTATAACAGCAGATGATGCAGTGGAATGTCCTGTTTATCTTTGCCGCCCAACTCGTCAAATCCGCCTCTACACGATACATTCTAACTCGTCTCTTCCTTCTCAATTGCCTAACCACTGTTCTCTTTCTTCTGACCCAACACACCTTGACTCAAAACAACGGACTTCAGCGCCAGTCAGGAAAATCATCTGTTTAGCCAGTTATTCACGCTTCTGGTTGCCTACAGGGCATTTGATGAGGCGTTTCTCGTTGTTATAAGTACACTCAACTTTGTAAGACACTTAGACTGTGTACACCCCAACAGTTACTTGTCGGGTATCCCACAGTTGACCGGATTCAGTCGAATTTCCAGCCTTGTATGACGTTATACCGACATCAGTGATGTGGAAAATTGTCATAGAGCACCCAATTTTTTTTATCGCAGTGGTCATTATAATGATCGAAGTGAACCACTTAGAGTATGGGCGTCTGATTGCACAATCTTTCCATTTTCATTGTGTTTGTCGGATTTGTGACTCGTAAAATTTGCACCTGAAGCCCTATTCGATTTCCTCAGATTCGAGTACGGCTTGTCGAGCTTTTTGGTAGCCATGGTGTCGTTAGGCAACTAACTTATCCAATTAGACTCATTTAAGGCAAAGAAGAATTCTTCAGATTCTATCATTTTCAGTCCCCAATAATTTCAACATTGAATCCATTGCCAATAGAGGAGAACATCCGAGTTCCAGGAAGCAGTTCGGAT